AATAATATTCCTTTATTTTTTCTTGTTGTAATACGCCACTGAATTATGGTATTTTTTTCAACATAAAATAGGTTCAATGAGATCTACCTTTATTAAGATCAATGTTTTGCAACTCCATTGAAGACCGGTTTCAAGGTTATGTGCGTGTTTATGCAAAGACAGTGAACTTGGACTTAGACAAGGCAAAAACCTCGGCTTGGTTGGAATCAACATTCCCATTAACTTTTGTTTTGCATAACCACGTTACTTGGACGCCCAGAATTAAGATGAAAAGGTCGTTCGTCCAAAAATGCCTTAGTGTCTATTTAAACATCTTCAAGACCTATTCTAAAAATAAAGTTATATGGACTGCATACTCTGGGGCATAATCTGAACAAAAAAAGGCGTTAAATAACGTTAACCTTTAGTTGCTCTTTGTTTAGTAAAGGTAGATCAGTTTTCCTAAGCATCATCTGATTAAATCTTCCGCTGAAAGTATAATTTTTTAATATCCATCTTATAAATATCCTCTCCGTTATATAAATCCTTAAATTCATCAATAATCATCTCTCAAGATGATGTTCTTGGGCTATTTTAATCTAAACAATCTTCATATCATTGCCTTAAAAATTGGGTCCAGGAATACAATTACATAGTATTGTGCCTGTAAGTTGTGGAGTTAAAATTTCTTTTTCAATGCTTATTTTGCTTTTATTTTTAATTCCTTAACCGAATTATTAACAATCGGCTCTTGCCTTCATGGACTAGGAAAAAGCATTTGATAGGATCAAGATTTGTTTCTTTGTTGTCGGGATATAAGGTAAGAACTACGCCTGAGAATGCTTCGATGTTACGTGTTCTCTACTCTTCTTTATGGTCTGGAAGCTTGGACACTCAAACAAGTTCATCTGAATAAGCTGGATTCAAAGAATGTCAAACATGGAAGTAACTAGAAGGATAGGAAATGAGGCGGAAATAATATTAACTATTAAAAGACGAAAACTTGAGTACTTGGGACATGTGATGAGAGGGCAAAAATACGCATTATTACAACTTATTATGCAGGCAAAATCCGAGGAAAGCGAAATGTGGGAAGACGAAGAATATCCTGGCTTAAGAACTTAAGGGAATGGTTTGAATGCAGTAGTGCAGAACTTTTTAGAGCGGCAGTCAACAGAGTCCGCATAGCCATGATGATTTCCAACCTTCGATAAAAGATGGAACTTAAACAAGAAGGATCAAGATGTTGGCTATAGAATAAGCTATTAATAATTGTAGAATATATTCGAAATAAGGCAACTAATACACAATATATATTATGTTAAGGCTTTAGCAATAAGTGTACTTTTTTTTAATTTTAAAAACAAATAACTGGTTGCGAGAGATTTTATCTAGGGGAGAGGGAACTAAAACAGCACTAGGTTGATATGCTCTTATACTGTAATCCTTTCTTAGTTTTATTGGCCTAATGCTGGAGCATAAATTGTAAACTAAGAAACCAGTCGCAGAAACATAACATTTATACTTAATAAACTTAAAAAAAGGATTTTAAGTAGTGACTTTTCAGTTCACATCATTTGGATAAAGTCGCATCGGCAACCATTTCATCATTATAAATATAGTATGTTAATATGTTAACACAAATGGTCGCGCCGTTAGAATGTTTAAAATGAAAATATAACGACATCACTGACGTGTTAAATTCACATTAAAAACGGCATCCTGACGACGTAAAACGTACTAACGATCAAAATAACGTATGACATACGAAATATGATTCTCCACGAAGTAGGGTAAGAACCTCTGAACATTTCACAAAATGTTACTTTTGGATTTTTTATTATGGATTTGGACAAATTGTTATGCTAAGAAAAAAATCTTTTTGTGCAACGTGTTTATCAGGCTGTTTTGAATGATCGTGAATTTTGTATAATCTATAAGTTGCACCATTTTAAAATATACATACGTTTGTTAAAATACTGTCATATTGTCCAAAGGGACAGCACCTACATCTACCTTTGGACTGGTAGACAAGTTAATAAACTCAACTAAAATAATAATAAAATATTGTTTTCCGTCGACCGTCCATTTATGATCAATTTTAACACCCTCAAAATCATTGATTAATAACCCCTATTAATGAATGATTTTCTATTAATGAACGATTTCATTAAAGTGATATAAGGTTAAATGCTCGAATAAATGAACTTTAGAAAATTAAAGGCAAATATCGAGCACAATTTTAATAATCAAATCTTGCCCAAGTGCTTTCGCTTTCTACAGCATCATCAGGGGCATTTCGTCAAATTTGGGCTATCCAGCAAGCGCAAAATGTAATAAACATGAAAGTGAACATAAATTGTACATAATAGTCTTATTATTATTTTAGATGGTTTGTATACTGTAAAATTTGAAGTTTCATCCAGGTTATATTATATATATATATAAACTAAACTAACATATATATATTATATATATAACTGAACTCAAACTATATATATATATATATATATATATATATATATATATATATATATATATATATATATATATATATTATATATATATATATATATATATATATATATATATATATATATATATATCGTTTAAACAATGTTATTTTAACATCATAGGCGTTCTGAGATTGACTTTTTATGTGTTTTTAAATTAAGTTAAAATATATTTTGTTCAAATTTTTGACATCTTTCTTATCATTTATTGCGTTATTATTTTTTTTTATTTGTATAGAGTCTAGAAGCTCTCTCTTCTTCCTGTTGGGTTCACTTTTTAGGATCTTGGTTTGTTCAAAATCAAATTTATGTTTTTTTTTTTTCGTTTTCATGTTTTGTGAGGGCGGTTGAGTTTTTTTTGTCATATTTGTGGGAACGTATTCTTGAGTTAAGTAGCTGACTGGTTTGTCCAATATAAACTCCATCACAATTCCAGCAGGGGATTTCATATACAACATGCGATCTTTTTAATAGAGGAGTTTTTGTTTTCAATCTTGTAAAATTCCTTTTCAAAAGATTGTGACCTTTATGAGTAACCGTAATATTATGTTTAGACAGAAGATTTGCAATTTGTTCTGATAATCCTTTTATATAGGTGAGAGACATATAGTTTTTCTTTACCGTGTTGGTTTCATTGTTATTACTGTTATTGTAAAATTTATGCAGTCGCGATTTGAAAGTGTTGTCGATAAGGTGGTGTGGGTATGAATTAAGTGTTAGTGCTGTTTTTGCTTTTTAATGGCCTAAGGTCTATTAATAGGATCGGATAATCTAATAGCTCTATCAGCGAATCCGGTAACTACTGATTTCTTTTGAGACAGGGGATGATGAGAGTTGAAATTCAAATTTCTCGACAACCAGGTTTTTTTGGAAGAAAACAGCACTATAACTACTTCATGGTACACCAAATGACTGCAAAGTTGTCGACTTCGGATTCCTTATAAATAACGGCGGAAATTTCCTTCTATATTGAACTAGTCATTCTCGGCCTGCAAATTGCTTGTCTTGCCATTAATCTGGTATTCGTTTACCCAAGAATGTGGCATAATTAAATGCCAATTTTCTAGTTCAGAAATCCCAAATGAAGATAAGCATGATTTTTCTAGATAATGAAACAGTTGCTTCTCTTCTGCAACACTACTTTATGGAAAAAGTAGTTTTGGTGGCGAAACTATGACACCATTTATACTAGTAACCCAATTATGTTGCTTTTTCATATAATTGTGTAACGTGAATTTACTTATATTTCATTTGTTCGCCACACTACATATATATAGATGAATTATTCGTCAAAACTTCATGTAATTTTCTTTTCTGTATTCTCTTTGTCTGGTAATTCTCTACAGTTGTTCTAGTTCTTTGGGTAAGCATATTTCTGTAGGCTTCATATATAGGCACATATTTCTGTTTCTATTTCATTGTTCTCTGCTGTTTTTTATATCTTCTTTTATTCTGGTCCAGTAGGAGTCTATATCTGTCGCGCCTTCTTCATTTACATTTTGATTCCTTAGCCTGCTAGTGACGTTTCCGAGTATTGTTCTGCAACTGTCGTATCTCTCAGCTTTTGCACATTTCATTTTTTCTCTCCATTTTATTTTCCTTACTGGTTTTTGAAATTCTAGCTCCCAATGTTGAGATCACTAGGCAACGATCTGAGTCTATTAGTCAGTTTATTACGTCTGTTGCATGCCTTGAATCTATTAATATGTGATCAATCTGACTCGTTGTTCTTCCATCAGTAGAGGTCCAGATTACCTTGTGTATGTTCTTGTGTTTAAAATAGGTACTAGCGACTGTCATATTTAGCGTTGTTGCTAAGTTTAGGGCTACTATTAATGTGCAGGGTATACTTTCCTATCGTGGGCATAAAAATTCGCTCTCGTCCTGTTCTTGAATTCATGCCATCTAATACAATCTTAATGTTATTTCTGTAGGCCGTCTCTAGGTTTTTGAAAAACTGTTATTTTATTGCCTCTGGTTTGTCAATTGGGGCATGTGCATTGATCAAACTGTAATTAAATAATTTCACTTTTAAGCGCAAACAACACATTATTTGACTGTAAGCTTTAAAGTAAATAGAAAGCCCTTTTGTTACAGCCCATCTAGTCATCGGTATGACTCATAGCTCTTCTTAAAATCCATTACCTTTACCTCTTTATAATTAACTAAGCTATCAACGAACTTGTAAAATATTAGTACTGTCAGCGCAGATTTATTATTCATTTAATATGCTAATAAAAATTGTGGAAGACGAGGAAAAGAAAACACACAAAAATGTTTAAAATAAATTAAAATCTTTTATTGTAGTCGTTAAATTTATTATAAAAATCGACAAATAACGTTTTTGTTTAAATTCAGTTTACTCCATTGGAGCTCAACATTACATACCAAAGGTTGACGAACTTTTAAATTTTCTCACCTATACTTAAAATTACATTATTTTTTAAATGGCAAATCTAATTTGATTAAACTTATATTCTATTCAGTCGATAAGCTTGATCATTAATATTATTTAAAATATTTATTAGCTCTCCATTCTTCTTTAATAAAGTCAGAAATCCTTTCTCCTACCATGTATGACGGTCCTGCAGTATGTGCAGTCAATGGCATTGGTATAATACTTGTATCAGCAACTCGAAGATGCTTCAAACCATGAACTTTTCCTGTATTATCGACCACTGCTTCTGGGTCAGATTTTGGACCCATCTTACACGTCGCTACTTGGTGCCACAGACTGCTTGTTAAAGATCGAAGGGCGCATTCCCAGTATTCGTCGCTATCAAATGGCATTGTCTCACAACCTAAACAAAACAATAGCAATTTTTAAAGTCAAGCAAAATACAAAAAAATACTAGAGATTTACAATTACTCATTTGTTGTAGGCAATACGCATAAAAATACACTTCTCCAAGAAATTAACGCACCACTTTGAAATATAAAAATTTTTTATTAACGTTAATAAAAATTTCCATTGTAATGTTGTATTTTGCAAGCCCCTTGTATATAATATTCGTACACTCTATATTTATTGACCGTGTTGTATCGCTATAGTTTTGTTTTGCAACAAACCAAAAAGAAGCAAAAAATGTACTAATTCTATAAATATACTATTTTCCAAGTGTTCACGAATTTTATTCGGCTACTATTCAATTGTTGATTATTGTTAATTGTGTTTATTATGGAGCGTCAATCACGTAATTTAACCCGAGATGAATGTGCTCAAGCAGTGGTACTGTCGGAAGAAGGTTGGAGTTACCGAAGAATTCGTCATCGGTTTAATTGTCCCACACATCCATCTCACAGGTGTTAGAAAGATTCCTTGAAACAGGGGATCATACTCGCAGACCAGGGCAAGGACGAAACCGGGTAACTACACCTATTCAAGATCGATTTTTAAGATTTTCTGCTCTTCGACAACATTTTGTAACACATCGAACTATACAAATTCAGTTTTGAGACATGCATATACAATGCTATACAAATTATTACTGAAACTGTTTGCCAGCGACTTAGGGAATACAACTTAACAGCTAGGATTGCCGCCTGAGGTCCTCTATTTCCTGCAGAGCATCGAAGGGGGAGACTAAATTTTCCCAGAGAACACGTTAATTGGTTAGAGGCTGACTGGGAACGAGTGCTTTTACTGATGAATCCCGATTTTTATTTTTAAAAGTGAAACTGGAACAAACCATGAAGTGGAGATGTCCAGGAGTGTCTAGTATACCTGTTGAATACAAAGCACGTGGTGTTCGTGTGTATTAAGGTATAAAAACGCTTATTAAAAGCTTAAAATTTTTTTATTATAAAGAAGATCTTTTCGGAATTGTATCATTCCATCATCAGTTTACTAAAAGAGAGAGTAAAAATACCAATATTAAAAACAACAAAGTTAAAATTTGAACATACAAAAAGAGAAAGTTGGTTTTTTACTACTTACATAAAAAAGGTTGTTAAAAAACATTGTGTGGCCACATAAAAAACATTCGGTGGACATCTGGATTTAAAAATTAATATTCTTCGTGTTATTTATTCAGGTAAATGCAATAGACTCTTGACTTGTGTAATATAAAAAAAAATGAAACTGGGGGTATCTTATATGACCCCCTGTAGTTGGTGAGGTTTTATTGACTTACATTACCTTATGTAATGTATGTAATGTATTACCTTATGTAATGTAAGTCAATAAAATCTCACCAACTACAGGGGGTCATATAAGATGCCCCCAGTTTCATTTTTTTTATATTACACAAGTCAAGAGTCTATTGCATTTACCTGAATAAATAACACGAAGAATATTAATTTTTAAATCCAGATGTCCACCGAATGTTTTTTATGTGGCCACACAATGTTTTTTAACAACCTTTTTTATGTAAGTAGTAAAAAACCAACTTTTTCTTTTTGTATGTTCAAATTTTAACTTTGTTGTTTTTAATATTGGTATTTTTACTCTCTCTTTTAGTAAACTGATGATGGAATGATAAATTCCGAAAAGATCTTCTTTATAATAAAAAAAAATTTTAAGCTTTTAATAAGCGTTTTTATACCTTAATACACACGAACACCACGTGCTTTGAATTCCGATTTTGTTTGTACAATAACGACAGACGTGTTCGTATATTGCGAAGACCCAACGAACGATATGCTCAGTGTAACTTCTCACGCACCACATTTTTTGGTGGAGGATCTGTTATGGTCGGTCAAATAGCTCAGCGGGCTGTGCGGCTGCCTCTCATTCGCTTCACTGTCGAATGGTTTAGTGGATGTGGGTCGAGCCCAAGCTCGGTGTACAGAAAACAAAAAGTCTAACGCAGCAGTTTAAAATTCTAGATGAATCTGCGGCTTAGACTAGGATATGCTGGGTTCTGATCGGCCTATGGTGGAGCAGTACGGCAAGAGATAAGGGCTTGCGGCTCGGTGATACTCCTGCATAGATCCCTACCGGACGGGCGTAACGCCTAAAAAACCGGATATATATATATTATATATATATATATATATATATATATATATATATATATATCTGTTATGGTGTGGGGTGGTATTTCTTTAACCGCACGTACGGACCTAGTGGTCATACAAAATGGAACTGTTACAGCTGAAAGGTACATATTGGAGATCGTAGAGCAACATGTAGTACTATTCGCTCCGTACATCGGTGAAAATTTCTTACTAATGCAAGATAATGCCAGACCTCACGCTGTACAGGTCGTCAGAAATTATCTAGAAGAGGTAAAAATTAATACTATGGAATGGCCAGCACATAGTCCAGATTTAAATCCGATTGAAAATCTCTGGGATATTATTGGTAGGCGATTACGAGCGACACCGATCCAACCAAACAACTTACAGGAAGTGGGAGAGAGGCTGATCCAGATTTGGAGAGAACTAGACCAAAATGAAATACGGCAAATAATTTTAAGTATAGACCAACGGTGTTAGGCTATTATACGTAGTAGAGGTGGAAACACTCGTTATTAAGACTTATTTCATATTTTAGTTTACTTTTCTTATCATTATTTTTTAGAATTATCCGTTTTCTTTTTTTTCTCCTGTACTTCAACATTTTCTGATGATTAGACAAATTGTTATAATTACTTATAAAATATAGAATAAATTTGGTGAAGTTTTATTTTTTATTCTTTGCCTGTATTACAAATAAAATTGATTAATTGAAGTGGTGCGTTAATTTTTTGGAGAAGTGTATTTAGGTAAAAGTTGAAACGTATATGGGACCATTCTAATAGTGTTCTGAAGCTATTTTCTTGTGGCATTGTAAATTAATTACTATTAAACTGGGAATAAGCCACAATTAAAGATAAAAATACGTTTATTGACGTTTCAGTAGTAAATTTACTGTTTGTATTTTGAGAACGATTTCCGAAGTGGAAATTGAAACGTCAATAAACGTATTTTTATCTTTAATTGTGGCTTATTCCCAGTTTAATAGTAATTCATTCTAATAGTATGTTAAAATGTACAGGGCCAAAAGGGTACATGGTCAAAAAGTATGTTCAAATGTACATATTAACAGAGTGGAACAAACTCATCTTTTTTTTAACGGCATATCCAGTATAATTTTTACATTTTTGAACTCTTTTGGTTTTGCAATGTTATATATGAGATAGTGTAAAAGATAATTACGTTTTTCTATTAACGGTATCAATGAAAGGAATAATGAAAGAAAGAGTAAGTTAGGATGGTCACACGGGAGAAATGGTTATCCAAAAAAGGGGTTGGGCGATAGGCCAGTAACCTATTCTTGTAAAAAAAGTTCTACTACGAAACCTTCAGATAGGCCTCGGAATGGACGGATATCAGGACGACGACTTTGGCAACGGAATATGGAGCTTATGCTGGGAACATGCAATGTCAGAACGCTAAATAGACCAGGAGCACAGAGGATGCTTCTACACGAACTGAAAAAATATAAAAGCGGAATCACTGCAGTACAAGAAACTAAATGGTTGAGAAAAGGTATCCGGGACACTAAAACACATACTATACTGTATAGTGGTAAAGATGAAGGAAATAAAATAATTTGGAGTAGCCTTTATCCTAGATAATAAAATGAAACAGCGGATAACAGATTTTCAAGCCATCAATAAAAGAATCTGCAAGCTTAGGATAAAAACGCATTTCTTTAACGTAACCCTTATAAATGTACACTGTCCCATAAATGAACAAAAAGAAGACACTAAGGTAGTCTTTTATCAAGATCTAGAACGAATCTATGTCAGACGTGGCGACACAAACGCCAAGATTAAAAAAAAAAGAAAGGTACATAAGGGTAATATAATAAAAGCAATGAAGAAGAACCGAAAATAAATATAAGGCTTGTGCTGGTAAATAAAGTCTATTTCGCGATGGGCCACATATTTAAATCGCGATACGTACACCGGAAAACAAAACTCCTGGTCTACAAAACAATCATCAGACCCATAGTAAGTTATAGTTGTGAAACATGGGTGGTGACACAAAAATCTACCAATGCATTAGATGTGTGAAAGATTAGATGTGAGATAGAGAAATGTACGAGCAATATAGCGAACCAACTTTAGCACAATACACTAAACTGCAGAGATTACGGTGGGCAGGTCACACGTGGTATGCATGCATGAGAATAGAATCCCCAGAAAGTTACTAAATTCAAGAATGCAGGGAAAAAGACCGGTTGGAAGACCTAAAAAGAGATGGGAAGACGAAGTCGATGAGGATGCCAGAAACTGCCTGGGAACGCGTACATGGAAAAAAACAGAGGTAAATCGAAATGATTGGAGAAGCTTGTTAAAGGAGGACAAGACCCGATTTGGACTGTAGTGCCATTGGATGGATGGAAGTTAGGATGGTTGGGGCTTGTTCAACGTCGAGTCGTAAGAAGGTCAACAAAAATCATGAAAATTAATGTTGAGTAATTTCAAGAAGATTGGTTGACTAAAAGCTTTTATATACATAATTCTAAGAGTCTATTTATAAAGTAATACTTTTTGTATTCCCTTTAAAAGTTTACTTTTTATTGTATGCCGAATAAGAATATTATAATACTTTAATGACAATAGTTATAAAAAGAAAAATAGTCTGTACCTGGTATCGGTGTTTGAACTAATCTTGCTCCTAATTTTTTCATTGTGGGACTCCGGCTCATCCGTTGCACCTCTCTTAGAGCGGCTATAAAAGTTTTAATGTCTTGATTTTCGGGATCTGAGAAAAAGTTAGCATAAAATTTTGGAAAGTGGAATGGATTCTTAGAAGTTAACTTTACTGATCCTACGGATTTTGGATGAACTAACATCGGCATTATCTAAAATTGAAATATTAGTAAATTAATATACAAGAGCAAAAGTTATTTAAAAGTAAATTTAAATTTTTTATCTTATTATTTAAAGACAAATCCAAGGACTGGTATCGGTACACGAAACGTTTAATAGAGTGGCCCAAAAATCTGGAAACTGCCAATTATCTCGTAAATTGCTAGTTTTAATACCACACAATTGGGATATGGATATTCCATATTTAATATTTGCAATGTTGCCAGATTTGCCGTTTCTCTTATATTATTACTAACTTTAATATGGTTTTTCAAATTCATCACCCTGTATATTCAGTCCTTATTGGAATCTCCTATTCAATACGAGTTCAACCATATGTAACACTTATGATTTTATGTAGTTTGGAAGATCTTAAATACATAAAACATAAAGTCTGGCAACGCCTAATTGTCTCAATAGTTTTTTTAATGCTAACTATTTTTAATTACATTAAAATGTCATAATTAATAGATTACAACATTTTTTAACATAACAGTTACTTTATCAAGTGTTCAAAATGTGCTCCATGTGAGTTAACAGTACCCTAATCGATGGTAGAATGCGTCTACCACATTTTCCATAATTGTTTATAAATTATTCGAGATTTATCGATATTTCGTTGCCTTAGTTCTGCAAGACTTGCTGATTTAGTTCTGTAAACTGAATTTTTCAAGTATCCCCAATAAAAATAATCTTTAGGATTGAAATCAGGTGAACGTGGAGGCCATTCAATTCTACCTCGTCTACCAATCCATCGTCCGGAAAATACCTTTTCTAAATAACGCCAAACATTTACACCAAATTTTGTAAAATTATGACAAGCAATTGGCAATTTACAATTTACAAATTACGAATTATGAATTATGAATTATGAATTATGAATTATGAATTATGAATTATGAATTATGAATTATGAATTATGAATTATGAATTATGAATTATGAATTATGAATTATGAATTATGAATTATGAATTATGAATTATGAATTATGAATTATGAATTATGAATTATGAATTATGAATTATGAATTATGAATTATGAATTATGAATTATGAATTATGAATTATGATTATGAATTATGAATTATGAATTATGAATTATGAATTATGAATTATGAATTATGAATTATGAATTATGAATTATGAATTATGAATTATGAATTATGAATTATGAATTATGAATTAGAATTATGAATTATGAATTATGAATTATGAATTATGAATTATGAATTATGAATTATGAATTATGAATTATGAATTATGAATTATGAATTATGAATTATGAATTATGAATTATGAATTATGAATTATGAATTATGAATTATGAATTATGAATTATGAATTATGAATTATGAATTATGAATTATGAATTATGAATTATGAATTATGAATTATGAATTATGAATTATGAATTATGAATTATGAATTATGAATTATGAATTATGAATTATGAATTATGAAATATGAATTATGAATTATGAATTATGAATTTTGAATTATGAATTATGAATTATGAATTATGAATTACGAATTACGAATTACAAATTTACTAGATAGATACCGATCAGTTAGACCGAAAAGAGTTATGAATGACAGCAAAACTAGATATAATGCAAAGTTTTGTTAAAGATCCACATACATCCTCACGCAGGGTTGCACAAGCACATGATGTAGGTTGTTCTTCAGTCTTAAGTGTATAACATAAGAATATTTTTAAACGATATAAAATTAACTTATTGCAAGAATTAAGTAAAGATGACTTCGATCGTAGATTAGAACTTACTGTGGTAATGGTGGATAAAATGGAAAAGGATAAAAATTTCGTTAACAGAATATGTTTTTTCGATTAAGCAACCTTTACACTGTGTGAAAGTGTAAATCGACACTTTCACAAGTACTAAAGTGACGTATATCCACACTGAATACGTGAAAACCAAACTCAAAGAGCACTAAAATTAAATGTATGGTCAGATATAGTAGGTACTCAGTTAATTGGGCCATTTTTTATTGAAGGAAATTTAACTTCAGATAGTTACAAAATGTTACTTATAAATAAAATTTAACCTACACTGATAAAGTTGTTTGGTGCCAATTTTAATTAGATATAGGCAAGATGGAGCTCCAGTTCATTATGGGGTAAATGCTCGGGGTTATTTATTTATTAGAGAACCTCGGTAGACGAGGTAGAATTGAATGGTCTTCACGTTCACCTGATTTCAATCATATAGATTATTTTTATTGGGGATACTTGAAAAATTCAGTTTACAAAACTAAACCAGCAAGTCTTGCAGATCTAAGGCAACGAAAAATCGACAAATCTCGAATAAATTCTAGACAATCATGGAAAAATGTGGTAGACGCATTCTACCATCGATTAGGGTACTGTCAACTCGCAAATGGAGCACATTTTGAACACTTGTTAAAGTAATCATTGTGTTAAAAAATATTATAATCTATCAATTGTTACGTTTTAATGTAGGTAAAAATAGTTAGTATTAAAAAAGGTGTTGAGACAATTAGACGTTGCCAGACTTCTGTTTTATGTATTTAAGACCTTCCAGACTACATAAAATTATAAGTGTGACATATGGTTGAACTTGTATTGAAAAGGAGATTCCAATAACGAGTGAATATACAGGGTGATGAATTTGAAAAACCAAAGTTACTAATAATATAAGAGAAACGGCAAATCTGGCAACATTGCAAATATCAAATATGGAATCTCCGTATCCCAAAATAGGTGCACTTCAAATTTTGAATAATTATGTCTGATAATTTACGAGATAATTAGCCGTTTCCAGACTTTTAAGCCAATCTGTGTATCTCCCAAAAAAATTAACGACATAATTTTAGAAACAAAAAAAAACTAACATGGATATTAGTACCTAATGAGACTAAAGATAAAAGAACCAAGCAAGAAGCAGGACATGTATGCTTGCTTCATAGATTTTAAAAATGCTTTTGACAGAGTTCAACATGAAAAGCTTTTAAGGATTCTTAGGACCAAAAACATAGATAGTAGAGATCTACAAATTATATCGAATCTGTATCAAAAACAGAAAGTAATAATAAGAGTTGCAGTCCGACTAGGGTGCATACTTTCACCACTCTTATTCAACGTCTAGATGAAGTGATATTTCAAGACGCTTTATTGGATTTTGTGCAAGCTATTTTGGTCAACGGAAATAACATTATTAATATTAGATATGCGGATGATACGGTCATATTTGCAAGTGCCATGGAAGATCTACAGTACATAATACAACATGTATACAATGCATGTGAAAGGTACGGACTGCAAATGAATCTCAAGAAAACGAAATCAATGATATTTTAAAAAAAACCACAAAATGTAGATAACCTGATCATCAATAATACAACGATCAAAAGAGTAACAACATATACATATTTAGAAACGTGGCTAACTGAAGATGGAGATCAAACAAAAGAAATCAGATCTAGAATAGAAATGGCAAAAAATACGTTTATAAAATTGAAGAAACGTACATTGCAACCGTAACCTTAATCTAGAGATCCGTACAAGAATGCTACTTTGTTACGTTTTTTCTACTTTACTATACGGCATGGAAGTGTGGACAATAAAACAGTCTGAAATCAAAAAATTAAATTCCTTTAAGAAGCGGTGCTACATGAGAATCCACTGAATATCGTGGACTGAAAAAGTAACTAATATAGAGGTGTTACAAAGAATGAAGAAAGAACGTGAAGTCATAAAAATTGTTAAAATTAGAAAGATTCAATATCTGGATCATATAATGAGGGGCGAGAACTTAAGTTAATTATGCAAGGGAAGATACAAGAGAAGGGAAACCCAGGACGATGCAAAATATCCTGGCTAAGAAATTTGAGAGAGTGGTTCATTAGAATTATTCAGAAGCGCAGCCAATAAAAAATAAAATTAGAATAGCGATGATGATTTCCAACCTCCGATATGAGAAGGAAAAACAACTAACACGGCGTACGAAGATACAGGTCTATAAAACAATCATACGACCCGTTGTGATGTATGGAAGCGAAACGTGGACGATAACAAAGGCAAATGAAGAGAGACTACGTGTTTGGGAAAGAAAAATCCTAAGGAAGATCTTTGGTCCGGTGCTTGATGAAGCATCAGGACAATATAGGATAAGAACTAATAAAGAGCTTGAAGAACTTTACCCAGACGCCAACATCATAAAAGAAATAAAGTCTAGAAGACTCCAATGGGCAGGACACCTCAGAAGACATTCTGACGAACGAACAGTAAGACTGGTGTGGGAGGAAGTCCCAACTGGAAGGAGACCACGCGAACGCCCTCGTCTCCGGTGGCGAGATAATATAGCAGAAGACCTAAGCACTATGGGCGTGGAGAATTGGATGGAGGTTACTCAAGACAGAAAACAGTGGAGGCATGTTGTCGAGTCGGCTAAAACCCGCGAAGGGTTGTAACGCCACGGAGTAAGTAAGTAATATGAGAAGGAACCTGAAGAAGGTTTATACAAAAACTGTAAAAGAAAGTTCGTTTATATAAGCGTATTGTTGAATAGCACTAAAAATAATATTAAATATTTTCATGTTACTTGGTACATTGGCTTGCTTTCATAAATCTTCCAAACTTTCTCGTATATGTCACGTGGAATATTAAACATTTGTCTAAATAAATGACCATTGTCACTTGCTAGATTTCCACCAAGCAGAATCAATTCCATGTCGGGATATAATGGATCTGGATCCGTTGAAACTTCACTTTTCATATAAATTAAACCTTCTACCCCACCTAAAATAATATATAGATTAGACCTAATTTTTAAATATTGAATACACAATGAATGGACACATATTCTAAACTACACTTCTGGAAAAAACAATCCGGACACTCAGGGTATAGTGGTTTTAATAGGAAAGAAGTAAACATTAATAATAAAAAACGTTTTCCGCAAATCGCCAGGAAATTTTGACATTCCTGTCAAAATTTCTTGAAGAAAAAGTCAGGACTTCCTTACTGTAAGGAAATGTCATTTCCTTACTGTAAGGAAATGATATTTCCGTACAGTTGTTAGTGTTCTACATAAATGATAGAAAACACATTGCTTATAAGGAATTAATTTTTATTTTGAAAACATCAAGTCATTGCTGAATACATTTTTAAGATCAATTTGTTATATTTACAGTAATTTGACAGTTAGTACAATTATTGAACATTGGAGGAACACTCTTAGAACTATGAGAAACATGTTGGACAACATGCAGGGTGGAAGTGTCATTTTGTTGAATATTTTGTACTGTGAAAATTTTATTTGCCACCTCAACCTTATTGTTAAGCGATTCTTCGATATATCCTTCAGCAACGTTTGATGACTTCCATCCGCCATGCCTCTTTAAACTAGTTATGTCGGCACCAGAGTCAATCAATATTGTTGCAGAAGACCGACGAAAGCAGTGACCAGTATATTCTGTCGGATTTACCAAGTTCAAATAAGCAGCAATTATTTTGGGCATTTTTCTAAATTGATGAATTCCTACCACTTGTCTACAACCCTTTCCGCTTTGATATTTAAAGAAAAATCGGTCACTGTTCATATTTATTGGTCTTAACGAAACATACTTTCGATAAACATTCAAGTAGATCTGATTAATTACAAATGATCTTGGTTTGTTGGTTTTCGAATCAGGTATGCTGATTAAAAGCTTAGATTCTAAGTCTTCTATATCGTGTACAGTCATTCGAACTAACTCATCCATTCTACAGGCCCCAGAAATACCAAATATTACAGCCACCTAAAAAATAAATAAAGCTATAATCTAAATAGAAATTAAAACCTTGTAAATTACCTTAATCATTAAATTTTCTTTATCTGGAGCTTCCTGGATAAATTTTTCAATTTCTTCCTTCGTTAAAATCTTAGATTTCTTTGCCATATAACCTTGAGCTTGCCGTTTCAATAAAGAACGAAGTTTTGAGTATGTAGATATATCTACATTGTGTTTAAGTGCAAGGGTTGACTTCAGCATTGAATAATTCGCCCATAATGTTGAAGATTTCATCTTTAAACAAAGGCCTAGGAAGTATGCCATTACAACATTTTCTGAGAAAGAACTCGTATTTTTACTCATGCGATAATCCATAAAACGTCTGTATGCATTTTCGTACTTTTCTCTTGATTTCTTTGGCAATAATTCTAATGAAGCAGTATTCACTGCCTCAACCAGCTCTGGAGGAGTCCCAGGATTGGAAATTTCATCATCACTTATCATTTTACTTTCGAGAACACAAGCAATTAAATTTATAAGCGTCAAGTTTGACAATTCAACCTCAATACGTTTCCATAGTAACCCAAGTAATTTTATTAGGAATTTCAAAGCACCATTTATTTGGGAATAAAATTATCGCGTTTTTTTTTTAAATCAATCAATATCTGTCGAATTTTAAACGATTTGCGGAAAAATAGTATGTTTACCTCGTAGGAAAAGCCACATTCCTGGACTCTGTGTTGCTAAGTCTCGGCTTGCGCCTCGACTTAGCAATCTTCACAGTCGTCCAGGAATGTTAAGCTTTTCCTACTCGGTAAACAATGTACTATTATTCATATCAATAAAATCGATTCTTTTATTGTTTTTAATGATCGCGTCACCATAGAAACAAAATTTTGATATTTAGCAAAAAATGATACATTACCTTGTTTATAAGCATCAGATTTTTTCATTTTTTATTGCATTTACGATATTTTATGTTTATTCTAACAAATACTATAGACTAGAATATATACAACTCTTGACATTTCCCATTAGTTTTGTGGCAGCAAATAAAATAGCGTCATCTCATGGTATGAGTTGATAACTACATACAAACTTATGCATTTAACAGCCTGTTATTTAATAAGTGTAATTTATTAGTTTCGTTATAGATTAAATCAAAATACAAATTTAATTGTGAGTTATTTTCTTTAATTTGATATTTTTACATTTTAATTTATATAATTTTTCCTTATTACTGTCGTTAATTTTATTTACATAAGCTTTTATTAACACATTAAAATATTTATCTATAAAAGTCTTGTAACAATTTGTACATACATTTTGGAGAGTTTCTTGAAAGTCACATTTTAATTTCAATTTATATTTAACATTTTCAACGCTTTCTTTTATATAATTTTGAAAATACCTTTTAAATATTTCATTAATTTTATCTGAAGCTCCCTTGGCTTCATCATTTGGAAATTTAAAATTAGATGATTTCTCATATTTTTTTAACTCTATTAAGGTATTTTCTAAAGAATAATTATTAAAAGAGTTACATACTGCATTTCTACATTGTTCGTGAGGCAATTGACTGCAAACTCATCCTAACACATAAGTCTCAGAATTTTTTTCGATCATATTGTAATTGTCATTACTTATGTCGTTTTTGGTGCAATGCTCGATAGGATTATTAAGCAATACTTTAATTGGGTTTTTGAGCATTTCATCTTTTTGAATTAAAAATGAACAAGCATCAATGTCCCTGTTGCTGTCCGCTGATGGTTGCAGTAACTGATTTGCCATGACAGATCGCAAGTTGCACCTAAATTTCACACTGTCACGTGTATTATTATTAAAACCCTTAGCCCTAATAATAGAAAATAAATTTTCTATACAGTCTTGGGTTAGCCTTCTTGTACAAAGAAATTGAAACCCATAATTGCTCTTTAAATCATTTCAAAGCAACTTTGGATTGGCCCGCTGATAGTCCTGACATGAATCGTTAGAAAATTTATGAAAAATTTTAGAGAATAAGATTAAAAATAGACTACCATTGTCAGAATAGTTATACAATGTGATCGTCTATAGTTACTTTGCCAGACTCAGGCCATCTCATTTCACTTAATCCAAGTATACTTATATTTAGGCTCTTTATTTCGTTTATGGTGTTGTGAACCATACATGCTTCTTACATTCCATGTATTTATTTTTCTTTTATTAGAAAATATATTTATGCTTCTAGCTGATTGCAAGATTCTTAATCTGATCCCTGCTCTATTTAAGGAGCACCAGTATTCGGGTCTGTTGTATTTATCAGCAATTTCCATGATTGTTTCTTGAAAAAATTAGGCTCTAGGTAGTTTCCTGTTGCATTCCTAGAGTGTGTAGTACAAGGAAATATAGTGACCCTTTTACCCTCAGAAACCTAATAGGCATTCGGTGTCGGAAGAAACAAGAGTTAGCCAAGAGAGGCTGATAGAAAAGATTAAAGACATTTCATCCAAGACAAGCTAAAAAACAGTAAAATATGAAGGCTCCTACGATCCGCCATATGCGCTTTTATCAGAGTATGAGTATTAATACACCTTGTGCTTCCGTTTATATCTCAGAGTGTTGACTACATACTGTATGGCTCGTCCAGCATGCCATAGCATGAACCCTAAAGTGTCAGTCATTTTTACAATGTGGACATTCAAACCATGGCCTGACTTTTAACTCCTAATAGGTATTGCATTTGGACTTACTCGTTGGTATTTTTTTGATGTTTGATATCTTCCAGTTTTCAGATTTTCTTATTCCTGATATGTACCTATTATTCAATTTGTTTAATATTCATTTACTTTATTCATTCTTTTCTTTTACGATTCTTCATGTTACTTCTGTGTTTTTCACTTTATTCTTTTGTATATCTTCTGGAGATTGACTGCTCATTCTTTTCATATATAAAATTTGCTTTTTCTCTAATAAATTTTTTTTGGATTTTTTTGGTTATTTTTACTTAACAGTGAGTATTTCTTTTCTGGAGTTCTCGTAAAGCTTCTAATGTTTTTTTATATCGTAGAATTTTCTGAAACCGAATTCCGGTAATTTATGGTTTAGTATATTCATTAATTCTTTTTTGCCTTCATTTTTACTTGGCGTGTCCCCTTTTTCGAGCTTGGTTGTTCAGTCTGTAGGGCAAACCCCATTTTTAAAATTGTTAATCGGTGGTCGTTGTGACATTCGGCTTCTCTCTTTACTCGTGTATTTTTAATATTGATAGTAATACCATTGTTGACAATTATGTAATCGATAACTCATCTGATATTTCTCGTTGTTTGTACATATTTGTGTATATCCTTAATTATGTCTCAAAAAGCTGTTTGTTTCTTCTCTTTTTAATAAGACATAAAATACAAAAGTGGATATTATTATTATTACAAAACCATCTTTATATAGTTTTGAATGTTAACGTTTTGACACAAATTACATATTTCTAGAAGAAATTGTTTTCTAAGAATTTTCTTGTCGCCGCCGTTGGAATATTTAATGATTTAAATGAACTATAATTAAAGTACTTTACTTTATTGCGATATTATTTTTGGCTAAGTTTCCTATTATTTTGGAGCGATAGATTTTTTTATATCGATCTTAATAACATTTGATATGAATTGTTAAGTTGAAACTATTTAATTTCAATTTTGTTTAAACTTTTATTATACAAAACCAATGATATCTTTTAAATTGCGAAATAAATAAATGATTTAAAAAGTATATCATGTGATTTTCTTACCTATACTGGTCATGGATCCATTTCCAAGTTTTAGAAATGTGAGAATTTCCGTAACGTTGGTTAAAATTGGATCTTGTCTCAAAACAATATCTTCGTCAATTTCAAAACCCATTCCCATAAAACTGGGATGATCATACATCTTCTTACCAACTGGTAAATTTGCAATTACAGGTATATCTAGAATATGAATAATATTTACTGTAAAAAGTTGTATTAATCTTTAGTTGAAGAAAAAAAATTCTTGAAGTCCGGTGCTAATGTGAACGGTGCACCACATTGTATATTAACATAATAAATAATACCAATCAAAATCAATAAATTTTTCTACAACTTAAGTTTTAGAGCAGTTCACAGTTGGCAGTAAAGGCTGTGAGTAAATATTTTCATAATAGTATATTACTTTATGAGGCTGAGAAGCATGACTTTTCTTGACGCGCCCGATATTACGCGCCGAACGAAGTGAGGCGCGTAATAGAGGGCAAGTCAAGAAAAGTCGCTTCTTTGCCGAATAAAGTATACTATTTTTTCTTTCAAACATAGCAATTTTCAACCATAAATAGTACAATTCATACGATATTTTTACTCGAAATTAACTGTGACAACTATCAAAGTCGTCTAGATGTTAGAAATTAAAATAATTAAGTCGTCGGTGGGATTTGCGTCTCCCTGGTTACAGTTGTTGTGTGCAATTATTACAGACAGCTTATTGTTGTTGCAACCGCAAGCGCAAATTTAGTGCGAAAATGGAAAACCTAAACGAAATTGAGTCCGCGGCTAATGATGCAGTAGCACGTTTGGGGCCCTCCATGTCCGGAATAAAGTATCGGTTAGCGTACAAGCACTTCCAAGAGTGGTGCGATACAAGAGGAGTACGGCAAGTTACCGAAGACGTTTTACTGGCATATTTTAATTTAATGGAAAATGAAAATAAATGGAAATCTTCTACAATGTGGTCACGGTACTCTATGATAAAATCCGAGTTAGTTATTAGAAAAAATGTGGATATAAGCAAATTTTAAAGTTACGTGCCTTTCTGAAAAAAAAACAAGCGAAGGATATACTGCAAATAAGTCTAAAGTTTTCACCAAACACAAGTTTGATAAATTTTTGTTTGAAGCGCCAGGTAAGTTGTATTTAGGATTAAAGGTAAAAAAAATATATTGCAAAGCATGTAGAATACTCTACTAAATTATAAAACCATTTCAGATTGTTTTGTTAATTGGGGTTACCGGCGCCTGTCGATGCGACGAAATGGTAAAAATGAAGACTGTGGACATTGAGGATAAAGAAAATGTAATAATTATCAAAATCTCAGACATTAAAACACGACAAATTAGATATTTTACGATAATTGGTCAAAACTACATTAAACTGTATAAAAAGTATGCATCACTGCGGTCTGAAAATTTCACAGAAAACCGATTTTTTATCAAGTACCAAAATGGAAAGTGTTACCGAAGCGTCATGGGAATACATCCGATCAGGGCAGTAGCCCAAAAAGTAGCTAGTTATTTAAATTTAAACGATGCAAGCGCATACACGGGTCACTCTTTACGACGAACTTCAGCAACACTTTTAATTGATGGAGGCGGAAATCTAGAATGCCTCAAACGACATGGGGGCTGGAAATCAAGCACAGTTGCCGAAGGATATATAGAGGATTCAATAAGAAATAAGAACGATAATGCTCAAAAAATTTTAAACCCTCATGATTCGCCAACATCGGGAATGATTGCTGAAAGTTGTTCGCGACCATCAGTATCATCAACAATTACCAATGCGTATCAAGAGTCGGGAACATTTTTGCACGGATTCAATTTTGAAAATGCCTCATTAACTAATTGTACTTTTAATATTACTATAAATAAAAATGATGTTTAATTGTTGTTAATGACATTTGTATTGTTGCTTTGTGACATGTTTCATATTGTTGCCATGACAACATTTTTCCCTCCGCCGTAAAGAAATGGGAAAAAAACTGCTGCCGGCGGAGACATCAAACTTTGACAGGATCAAGTTAGATAAGTAATGTAAATTTTTCGGCATAATAATTAAAGAATTAAAAACTAAATGTCATATACAAACAATTTCGGAACTTTTACCCTTGGTCTAGAATCATCATTCAAAAAAGTTTGATCCTAAAATTATATATGATCCTTAATTATAGTAAGTAACACTTACCAAATTCTTGTAAATGTTCCTTTGGTCCTATACCAGACAGCATCAAAAGTTGGGGGGAATTCAGTCCACCAGCACTGACAATAACTTCTTTGCTAGCAAAGGCGTTGTAATACTTTTTCTTTCTGGCATATTGTACACCATAAGCGCTCTTTGTAGTAGGATCGATTAGAATTTTTACTACTCTGCTATTTGTAAGTATTTTTAAATTTGATCTTTGGGCAACTGGTCGTAGGAATGCCTTCTCAGCACTGCATCGTCGTCCATTCCGTGTATGTGTTTGTACGTACGAAACCTGTAGAGAAAATATATCTAGATATTTTTTTAGTATATATATATATATATATATATATATATATATATATATATATATATATATATAGTAAATATATCTAGATATCTAGATGTTTTTATACTTTTTAATTAGATTTAAAGAAATATTAGAGGATAAAAGTTCAGAAAGTAAAAACGGTAACAGTATCATCATCAGATTTAATCAGCGATATTCAGATTTTGTTAATAGATATCAGCCTATTGTTTAAGTTTCATTTACAATGTAAGAAATAAAACAAACAAACGTACGGATAATTTACCTATTGGACAATAAGATAAAGCCCATATCGATATCGTCAGAAAAGCTCAGTTAGAGTCATTAGGTGATGAATTATTATCGTTTTTTTTTTCGGTAGGAAAGCCACTTCCAAGAAATAATAGACTTTCTTCATTAACTCCATTTCTGGATAATAAAAGAATTGTTAGGGTGGGTGGAAGGCTTAACATTAATTATTTATTATTTAATGTTAAACATCCTATTCTTCTGTCATCCAAACACTATTTTACTAAATTAATTTACGAATATAAACATCAGCAACTATTTCATCCAGGTCTTCAGTTAGTGCTTTCTGCAGTAAAATAACGTTATTGGTTTAAAGCAGAGCGTATTTTATTAAAACAAATCGTTAAAAATTGTCTTCTTCCTTTGCCCTATCTGTTTCGGACGTTAGCTATTATCAAGGCCATTTTGACTTTGTTTACGGCACCTCTGAACAGTTCGGTCGATGTTAGTCCGAACCATTGTCGCAGGTTATACATCCATGAGTGTCGTCTTCTTCCCGGTCCCTCCTACTGTCGATTCTTCCTTGGACTATTAACTGAAGCAGCCGGTATTTAGTATGCCTCATGACATGTCCGAAGTATTCAAGCTTCCGTTTCTTTACGGTGAAGATTATTTCTTTGCTTTTGCCTATTCTCTGCATTACTTCCACGTTAGTGATGTGGTCTGTCCAGGATATCCGAAGAATACGGCGATATATCCACAGCTCAAAGGATTCTAGTTTCTTCAGGGTATCTTCCGTTGTGGTTCATGCTTCTGCTCCATAGAACAAGACCGGGAAGACATAACACTTGACCAGTCTTAATTTTAGTTCCATTGAGATTTTGCTTGTGAACCACTTTTTCATATTGTTGAACGCGTTTCGCACTTTTTGAATTTGTGATCTTATTTCTGTTGACTGGTCCCATTTTGTGTTGACTGTGGTTTCAAGGTATGTGTATGTCTCCACTCGTTCTATTTTTCGGTTGTTTAATGTCAATTGCATCGGAGGTTGTTGTGTTCTGCTGATGAGCATGCATTTAGTTTTGGTTGTATTGAGTTCTAAACCATATTCTTGACTTGCTGTGTGTATGCTTTGCATGAGTCTTTGAAGCTCGTTGCACACTAACCTAAATAATTGATTTTTCAACTGTTTCACTTTTTCTTTTCGGATGCTACTATTGGCGGGATATTCTATATTTATTTTCGGATGAGTATTATTAAAACGTCTTTCGACGTTACCTATTTTTCCAACTGTGATACTTGCGTGGCACAATACAAATATACACTTGCCTTTCACTTGAGTAAAAAAATAATCGTCTTCCCACTCTATATAAAAGTGATAAACTTTTGATTTCTTTGTAGGATTCATTTTTATAAATAATGAGTTCACGTAACGATTAAAACTATGTTCTAGCACTTGTGAAGAGACTAACAAATAATAGTAACTAATCCCATAAGCACGTTTATAGGCGACAACCGCCAGTGAAGACTAAGAATTGCGCAACTGTGGTAAAGATAAGTATTTTCAGCCCGACACGTTTTAGCGATATCGAGATGGCCAGGGATTGTTATTTTTGTTTTTAGAGCAGTCCATGTTACTTCAATATCTGTATGTACCAAGTTTTCGATCGTTTTTATTTCTTCCTCAAGCTTAGTACTTATTTCTTTTTCTGTTTAGGGTTCTTCAGTTGTGAAATTTCTATTTTTCTTGTCACTGCTTCTTTTTGACTTTGAGAAATATTTTTAATCTAAAATCTATTATAACTGGATTGTGATCGCTATGTATATCAGCTCCAGGGTACGTTTTCGTAGATTGTATGTACTTCTTAAAGGTATTATTGAGCAAAATAAAGTCAATTTGATTTCTAACAATTCTGTCTTTTCTGTCTGCAGGTGATTTACATGTGTATAGCCTTCTAGGATGTTGTTTGAAGAAGGTATTGGTTATTAACAGATTGTTTTCTACGCAGAATTGTACAAGTCTATCTCCTCTATTATTACTGGTACCTAGACCGTATGCTCATATGAGGTCTTCTTCAGTACTACGACCAACTTTAGCGTTAAAGTCACCCATGAACATCGTTATCTTACCTCTTTTTGTCAGTCGCATTATTTTATCTATAAAATCTTTCGATTTCTTCGACTGACTTTTCACTTGTTGGAGCATGGACCTAAATAATATTTAGTTTTCTACTTTTTACGTTTTAGTTTCTCTGCGTTCTTTGTAATTTCAACATTTCTACTCTATCGTTTAGAGGGATGAAGTCTGTGACTGATCAATTTTGATGCAATGAGCAGTTTTGTTTGACACTAATATAGCAGTTCCACATTGATGTTCTGCGTTGGTTCCACTTGAATAATATATGTATCCATGTTTTGTTTTTTGTGCTCCTGAACCAGGCCATCTTACTTTACTCATCTCCACGATATCTATTTTCAGTATTACCATCTCGGCTTCGTTTTGGTCGTATATTTGTATTTTCTGTCCACTTTTTTGGGTAGTTGATGGATACGCAGTTTAAATTACCCCAAACTAATAGATCTACTTAGAGGAATTAGACAGGGCGACGCCATCTCCCCCAACTATTCACTGCAGCTCTGGAATATGCCTTTAGAAAACTATATTGGGCTAAAAAGGGAATAAATATTGATGGTGAATACTTAAGCCACTTGCGCTTTGCAGATGATATTGTCATTATAGCCGAGAGTTTAAATGAAGCTCACAAAATGATGGAAGAACTAAAACAGGCAATAGAACAGATAGGCCTGAACATAAACTTTGAAAAAAACAAATTATATGACCAATTTAGTTCCAAGTGATGTTATGAGGGTAGATGGGAACGAAGTACATCAGGTCTTTAGCTATATCTATTTAGGGCATGAAATTAGAATAGGAAAAGACAATCAAACTTGTGAGATCCAGCGTCGCATAGGCTTGGGATGGGCAGCATTTGGCAAGATGCGAGATATTCTAAAAGGAACGCTACCGATTTGCTTGAAGAAAAAGGTTTACAACCAATGCATACTGCCAGTAATAAGCTATGGTTCCGAAACAATAACTTTAACCAAACATTCTGGAAATAAATTGAGAGTAACCCAAAGAAAAATGGAAAGAGCAATGTTGGGAATAACTAGAAGAGATATGGTACCAAATAGGGTAGTGAGAGAGAGACTAAAGTGACAGATGTCCTAGAAAAAATTGCACAAGCCAAATAGAGATGGGCTGGACATATAGCACGTTTAAATATTAATAGGTGGACCAAAAGACTCATAGAATGGAGACCTAGAGAAGACAAAAGACACCGAGGCAGACCACCAAAAAGATGGATGGACGACTTGGGAAAAACAGTCGGAAATTGGATACAGAAGGCGCAAGATAGAGAACAGTGGAAGAACATGGAGGAGACCTATATCCAACAGTGGATGCAGGAGGTTGAGGAATGATGATGATGATGAGTAGATCTACTATTTATTTTTCTGAAATTTTCATAATTTGTTTTGCAGCCAGGTGTTAAACTACGTTAAAGAAAAAACATAAAAAAGAAAACAAGACTTACCCCCAATTGTTCTTTACCATTGTAATCAACATATGGATGTCCGCATTCTTGCGCACTTTGAACCAAAGCATCTACCATCTTAGTTCTGAAAGGCACATCGCTTATTGTTAAGTATCCACCTTTTTTGTGATAGCCAGCATCGGCCTTTTCAATGTGAGCATCTTCAGACTTAAGAAAATATGGCAGGACTTCTTGGTACGACCATCCTGGATTACCCATTTTTGCCCATCGATCATAATCCCGACGGTTTCCCCGTACATGAATCATAAAGTTTATTATAGACGTTCCACCAAGCACCTTTCCATGGCCGTATTTTAAAGAATTTTTTATGCAACCTAGAAGTAAGATTGATGTAATTTTTAAAGTAAAGATGGGTATAAACTACGCTATAGTATGCACTATTCAGCATTTTAGAATAAATATTCAATTCAATTAAAACGTCAGTATATCTAAAAATTCCTATAAATGGAAAAGTTTATTGTTTAGAAATTTTGTATGATCGTTGGTTGAAACAGAAGTCAAACAGTCTTGGAAATACAATCAAAGCCAAATAAACAACCTGACAGTCTATCGAATTCTCCCATTTATATCATCAGTAATTCCAAAAAGTTTTGACAGGCTTTTATATAATTTAAACTTAGCCATTTTATCGGAATTGGATCTCTTTATTTAAAAACTCAGTGTAGATTTCGCAAAAGCCACGATAAAATACAATTATGGAGTGATTATTATTCAAATACACTCACAGCTAGTTTATCAAGTAAAAGGTATATGTTATGTCTTTTGTGAACTTTAGAGGTTTATATCGTGGTAGATTTATAAAATTATATTTACAAATAGTTGCTTTAGATATTACTGTCTTGCATGGTTAGCTACCCCAAATTTTATTATTTTAATATTGTTCTGACGCTATTTTCTTGTAGCATTTTAAAGTAGTTACTATTTAACACTTTTGCAGCCTGCGGTACTTTAAAGTACATCCCCTAGAAAGCCAAACCCCTAATTTATTTAGAGAATATGAAAATAATTCATAAAAACTGATTTCTATTTCATCCGTTACATAAAAACATCTTTTACTTCAAATTTTTTCTATTTCTTCTTCGTTTTTCAGAGACGATACTCCTAATACCTTTGGCCTAAAATGTCAACAAACTTTAGGTTTTGTATCTGATTGGTTTATAATTGTATTAATAAAATACAATATTAAACTTCGTGATATAAAATAAAACAGTTTTTCTCATTATAGTCCATTACCATCATATTGGTAGCACATTATGTATGCAAATCCCTAAACTGTTGACACGGGTGACTCAATGAAAAATAGATATTTGTCGACAAGTTTACAGAAGTATATAGGAAAACAAATTTAAATTGAGTATGACCACCAGGTATAAAGGTTGAAGCAGAATAGAATACAATAGTTTTGAGGGTTACTAATCCCTAAATAAACTTGCCACTGTCGGAGTGATGGAGATTAACAGGTACTAACGAATTTTCAAGAAATGTAAGATGTTTATTTTATTGGTTATATATATAAAATAATTTGTGGCCGTAACAGGGGCCGATTTGTAAACAAATGTATATTATTTTAATCAAATTCCATTTCAGATTCACTGCTTTCTTCAGAATCTAAGGAATCTTTCAACTCCAATGTTAATTATTACCGGTTCCAGCATTGCATCAGTCATATTATCCAAATTCCACATTTTATTTTCTTCCTTGTGAGCATTACTAACAGCATCTTTCCAATTTTGTGGAGTTACTTTTGATAAGGAATGTTCTAATAATTGTTGTAAGTCTTCTAATTTAAAAGTTTTGTTGTTGCGTCCGACTTCACCTTTTACTTGAGACCACATTTTTTCTATCGGATTCAGATCACAGTGGTATAGGGGTAAACGTAAAATAATTTCGTCACGGTTTAATGCCATTTCATCAATTATATATTTTTTATAAGCTGCTTTATGTTGCCTTACAATAGGTAATAATTCCTTTTTTGTCGAATTCTCCTTGTACTCAATTGCGTGTTTATCTAACCATTCGATTATCTCTACTTTTTTCCATGCCATTGTTGGCAATTTTTCTGCTAGTCTAGAATGGTAACTAGCCTTATCCATGACTACGACAGAATTTTTTGGAATTAAATCCGACATTTGCTCAAAATATTCTTTAAAAACGTCAGATGTCATTTCCTCGTGGTAATCTTTGGTTGATTTTGGGCAAAACTTAATAATCCACCATTGACAAAACCGTATTCGTTTCCAATATAGGTTATTATGAGTCTGCGTCCTTTTCCAACGGGTATATTGTTTATTCCAGTAGATACACCTTCGATGAATGCCTGACGGGAACTTTTTACATTTGTATCAATCCATAGATATGGTACAGTATGATCTTCATTTAGCCAAGATAAATAATCTCGTCCAAATAAAAGATTGTTTTCCCTTCTTCTCTGTACTTTTTAATAGTTTTTAGATAATCTCGTCTCCAACATACAATGTAATCTTTTTCAATTAAAACGGATTTTCTTCTATTCTTTTGCCAACGAAATCCAATCTCTCTCAATAGTCCCCATAATTTCTTGTTGCTTATGATTGGTAACTCTTCGTTTTCTCTAATTAATGTTTGGATTTTGTCCAATGTTAGAAATTCTCTGTTAAAAAAAATTAGTGGACGCTGCGTCTTATCATGTTTTTATGTTTTTCTTCAATTTCCAAGGGTTTACTCCCTCCACTCTTCTTGGGAGATGAAACAGTTCCTCCTTTCTTTCTTTTAGAAATCTATAAATTGTTGCTTCTCCAACCCCTGTCATATTTGAACACATGTTAACGATTTCACGAACATTACTTAAAGGGCGTTGTTGTACAAGTGCATCGTGTACATTTAATATTTTTTCTCTCTTAGACTGAAGGCACCTTTAAAACTACACTTAACCGGGATAAAACCTATTGTAAAAGTAAAATGTCGACGTCATTTTTAAATGCAATTAACAAAATATCGACACCAAAAACGTAGGTAGGTAAGACATGAACAATGTACATCTACAAACTAAATGGAAGATGCAAATAATTTCTAATTTATATTATTGGCATAAGCTGTAATGTGGCATAAAAACTACTTAAACTATCATTAGTAAAGCCTTATCAGTAATTCCAGGTAATCGTTCAAAGAAGGTATTCTTTTTGTGTCAGGCGATAACTTGTATAGAAAACAATAATCACCTTTAAATTACTGTTTACATTAATTTATTTCGTGAAACATTGAATTCTCTCGTTAATCACCGTGTATAATTAATAATAAATGTGTGGCATGTATATAGACGTTTTTTTACGCACAAAAAAGTTATAGTGAGATTAGTGGACACTTATTTTACAGAAGATTTTTTAAAAGATAATGAATTGTTGACGGCATCTTAAAATTTATTTCAAAACAAGTATAGGGTGACGCCTATGGTTTTTTGACCTGTTGAGGATTTTCATACATAATGTGCTATCAATATGATGGAAAACGACTATAATACACAAGAACACACCACATAAACAGGTAGAACGAGGTTTGGATTGTATACCACATGCACTGCACATCTCACATCTTCCTCTTCTTTCTTCAAATTTGGGACAGTGGTCATCATGATTTGAATGTCGAATAATATTAGGTACACTATAGTTGTAACGTCTTCTTTTTGGACTTACCCACTTTGTAAACGTGAACGGCGCTAAGTGGTAGGACATTGAGATTTTCCGAGGAGCCCATTGTCAGATCACGTTAGTAATCCAGTAAACTTTTTCTTTGTCTAAAATTTGTTTGGATATTACGTATGAATTAATAAATGTAATTTCAATGCACCCCAAAATATTCTGTGTCACCATTTGTTTAATCTCCTATCGAGCCCATAACATTGGCGAAGCTAAACTAAATGACTTAGTGAAAGACTTGGGCCTATCGAAGGATGCTGCACAAATCTTAGGATCATGACTGAAATCTATTTGCTACAAGCACCACAATTTTATGGTATAGGCATTGTAGAAAAGAATTCGCGAAATATTTTTCTCAAGAGGGCTCACTGGTATATTGTCAAAATATTCCTGAAGTAGTCATGAAACTGGGAGTTGACAATTACGATTCTACATCGTGGTGGTTATTTATTGATTCTTTCAAGAGAAGTCTAAAGAGTGTCTTATTGCATAATGGTAATACTTCTGCCTCAGTGCCTGTTGCTCACTCCGTGCATTTCAAAGAAAACATATGAGAATCTTCAATTGTTGCTAAATGAAATAAAGTACAGCGAATATTGTGGAGATCTCAAAATAATATCCATGCTTATGGGTTAACAATCTGGATTTATAAAGTATCCATGTTTTTTGTGCGAGTGGGACAGTCGAGCATGAAATTTATATTACGTTAAGAAAGTGTAACCACTCAGAGAAAGACTTGTACCGGAATAAAAAAATGGGCAACGTGATACACTAGTTGACCCAAAATTAGTTCTTTTGCCCCTCTTTACATAAAGTTAGAATTGATAAGGCTGTCTGTCAAAATGAGAAACGTACTTTGCAGTCACGATCTTAGTATTCACCTTCGTATGACATCTTGCTACATCTTTCCTGTCCTGCTGTATGGAGTGGAAGCGTGGACTCTAACTGAGGCTATGCTTAAACGCTTGACAGCCTTTGAGATGTGGGTATACAGACGACTACTGAAAATAAGCTCGGTCGACAGAGTTAGAAATGAGGAGTTCCTTAGATGGCTGAGCCAAACAACACAACTGGTCAATATAATAAAGAAACGCAAGCTGGAATACTTCGGTCACATTATGAGACACCCTGAAAAATATGATCTTTTACATCTGATCATTCAAGGAAAGATCCAAGGTAATCGTGGACCTGGTAGACGAAGAATATCATGGCTGAAAAATCTAAGGCAATAGTATGGAAAATCAACTACATCGTTATTTAGAGCTGCTGCCAATAAAGACACGATAGCGAATATGGTAGCCAACATGATATCCAACGATCGATAACGGTCATGGAACTAGAAGAAGAAGAAGTCTGTCAAAACAAGGTGACTGCTTTAAATATTTGTGCAACAAATTTTCTCCACTTTCTGAAGCTAAACTTTAAGAAGGAATTTTTGTAGGCCCTTAAATTTGAACCTTAAAATCGGACAGGTTGTTCCAGAATGAAGCTGAAGGATGGAGTTCTTTCATAGAAGTCATGGACAATTTTCTTGGAACAACAAGTCTCCCAGCTATAAAGAAATTGGCCAACATGGTCGAAAATTATAAAAAACTGGAATGCAATATGTTTGAGAAAGTATTTGCGCATTCATTTTATATTTTTACAGTTAATATTTTTTCTGTTACGGTACTGTAATATGACTAATTTGGGTGCTGTATTTCAATCTTTTAAAATATATTATTTCCTGTAAGTTCGTAAAACTCAAACTGGCTCTCATTTATCATGTTAACGTACGCAGAATTGGGCTTTTTCTTTGTATTCTATGTCAAAAAAGATTGAACCAAGTGGTTGATTTATGGCATTTGCATCTGTTGACCACCCAAGGACCAGAGGCGGTATTGCCCTGGTAGCGATCTCAAGACGGACACTTTTTGCCACTTCTTCGTCACCAGTGAACGAAAACACATTGACCGGTCTTGTGCTGTCTCGGCGACGCGACGTCCCTCGTCCCGGGCGTCGGCGTCGGTACCACCGGCCAGCTCTACAGCTTGGTACGAATTCATCAATCGAATCAGAGGTGAGTCTATTCTTGTATAAAACATTGATAATGAGTAAACCAGTTTATTTCTAATTTATTTCTACTTTTACAATTTATAATTGCTATTTTCACCAATTTTATGTATCAACAATATCGCATTTTTTCGTTATAATTATTTATTCAATATAATTTAAACCAGCGACTTCTCAAGTTTAATTACTAAGCAATATGAGCGTCAAACTTCATTTTCTGGATTCCCACATTGACTATTTTCCCCAAAATCTGTCAACGAGGAGCAGGAAGAGAGGTTCTATCAAGATATAAAGAAGATCGAGAGATGTTACCAAGGAAGATGGGATATAAGAAGACTCGATCACAAAAATCCATAAAAAGAAGACCACAAAATGCAGTGTTCAAGGCAAAAGAGAGCGGTTTTATTAAAAAAAACCCAATATTTTCAATAGCAATTTTCTCAGTATTTTTGGCAGTTTCTATGAAAAATTTTAAACACACTTTTCTTGAAAACCTGACGTGCTAGAAAAAAAACCAAGTACAGATTTGTAATTAGCATATCCCATTTACTATAGAACACCTAATAAACTTAAAACACTTTTTCATAAAAAAAAATTGTAGGCATGTGTTATTTTTCACCTAAACAAATTGATAAATAAATATAGAATGCATAGATTGATAAAAAATTTACTAAATAGTTCACGTATTTTAAATCCTAGTAATTAAATATTAAGTATTTATATTCATAAATTGTTTATTGCTAATCTCTAATCAAATTCTGCTAAAACAAATAAATTAACTAATAATATTTTAATCGGATCATTTTAACAAATAGTATAAATTTCATTGTTTAATTAATCATTTTATATAAAGCTATTGTTTGTTTTATTTTGTGAAAACCAAACAGAAATGCACCAATATTCGTTTTATATGTCCAATTTGGGATTGTCACGAAAGTATCAGTAATTTGATTAACCTATTTCAACATATTATAACGCTATTCCACCACTAATGTATGGTTTACTTAAAACACACAAGGAGAATGTACCCCTACGTCCTATCGTTTCCTGCATTCAATTACCCTTCGAGAATTTTTCAAAGTTCTTAAAATACAGTATTTCTAATGTTACAAATAAAATATTTTATTTTATTAAAGATTCCAATAACCTTATTTCTAAAATGAAAAACATTCACGTACCAAATAACTATAAATTAATATATGTAGATGTCATTTCACTATACACTAAAATCCTAATAAAACTTGCCAGTGACATCATTAAAAAGAAGTGGAATGACATAAAAGAGTACATTCAGAATACAGAATTCCCATTGGACAATGGGTGCCAGTATATAATAGTATACTATTATAAAATATACTATAACTATATATATAGTAATACTGTATATAAAATGCATCCCAAATACAACGAACTTAATAAATAAAGAAACAACGAAATAAATGAAATACTAACAACTACATGCTACATGCCGGGGAAAGAATTGCAAAATCGACGACAAAAAAGGACAATTATATCTCAGAAGAAGTAGAAAAACCTGATGAAGACAAGAGAAGCCTACTTGAACAGGGCAAAAGAAACACAGTAGAATATAATGAAATCAATAAAACAATTAGAAAAAACATAAAAGAAACCAAGAGAAAAAACGCAGGAAGCAAAGATTGAAAGAGTAATCCAGCAGAACAAAAATATGAAATGCTTAAAACAACGACTCGGTAAAACTCAGATAAATGAAATGACAAACAGCGAAGGAACAACCATTAATGATATGAAACAAATAATAAAGTTGACACAAGAATACTATACGCACCTATACAGAACAAGACATAAACCACAGCAAGAAATTCTTAAACAATTAAACACAAAAATAAAGAATATAAACTCTGACCTACAACCAGAAATAAGTAAAACAGAAATCAAGAAAGCAATTCAAGAATTAAAAAACCATAAGTCACCTGGAAAAGATGGAATAACTGCAGAGATGCTGAAGAGAGGAGGGAAAACAACTAGAGAAGTCCTACATATCCTCATGAACAAAATATTGACCACAAAAGAAATACCCGATAGCTGGAACGATGCGGAGACACTATTAATGTTCAAAAAAGGTGACCGAAAGAACTTAGAAAACTATAGACCTATAACATTACTAAGTGTTGTATTTAAACTACTAACGAAGATCATGACAAATAGACTAACAACTAAGCTTGACGAATACCAAGCAAGAGAACAAGCGGGATTCAGAAAGGGTTTTAGTACTAGCGACCATCTGCTAACAGTAAAAATACTGATTGAAAAGTCGAACGAGTATCAAATCCCATTATACATGGCATTCATAGACTTCCGAAAGGCGTTTGACAGCATAGAACATTGGGCCATCAAAAACTCACTACAGAACGGCAGAATTGATTACAGGTACACGGACCTAATAACAAACATATACAAAAATGCGAGTACCACAATAAAATTGACGAACGAACACGCTACAGAACCAATAAAATTCGAAAGAGGAATCAGGCAGGGAGACACAATATCACCAAAATTGTTCAATCAGGCTATGGAAGACATATTTAAAAAATTAGAATGGGATACATACGGAATAAGAATAAATGGAGAGCTCTTGAACCACTTGAGATATGCAGACGATATAGTCCTGATAACAGATAAGAAGGAAGAGTTACAGAAGATGGTTGAGGAACTAGATAGAAAAGCGACAGAGGTAGGTCTAGAGATGAACTATAGTAAAACCAAGACTATGACAAACCAAGAAGACCAATTAGAAATAGTAGTCAAACAGAATAAATTAGAGCAGGTGGCAGAATACATATACCTAGGACAGATAATAAAGCTGAACAGGGACAATCAAACAGAAGAAATAAAAAGAAGAACTAGACTAGCATGGGCCTCATTTGGTAAACTATCATATATTCTAAAAAATAAAAAGTTCCCTCAATATATGCGAACGAAAGTATTCAACCAGTGCATTTTACCAGTTATCACATATGGCTCACA